CTGGACCGCCCCCCCTCCCGTGTCGACAGTTGTCGTCGTCGTCGTCGTCGTCGTCGTCGTCGTCGTCGTCGTCGTCGTCGCCGTCGTCGTCGTCGTCGTCGTGCTTTACAGTCGCATGGGGGCGAGCTAATCCTCCGCCGTGCTCTTTGTGGGCGACTCGGGCATGTCCGGAGGCTGCCAGAAGGCCTCGCTGCACAAGGCAAGTGTCGCCCGATCCGAGCCCCCCTCGGTCCCCCCCCCCCAGCCCGGCCGCAGGTCCCACAGCTCGGCCCGAGGCGCCCTAGCAGCCGTCGAAGTCACCCTTCTTGGGCCAGACGACGGCGACAACGAATCCGGCGACAACGACATAACAACGGCACCGGTGACAACGGCAACGGCGACAGCATCGTTGCTGCCGTTGTCGCTGTCGCTGCTACCGTTACCGTTGCTATCGCTGCCTCGCCGTTCCCGATCCCTCCGGCCTCCCCTGCGCGCCCCCCCCGAGGAGCGGGAGGCGCTGCGGCTGGAGGGGCGGCGGCGGGCGGAGGAGGCGGAGCAGCGGCGGGAGGCGGAGGACCGTGCATCACCACCCGCCAAGCCACCCCCAACCCAACCCGAAGGCCTCCACTCCACTCGCCCCAATCCATTCGCCCCTCCACTCCAAACCACCCCGACCCAATCCACCCCAACCCAATCCGAAGGCCTCCACTCCGTTCGCCTCCACTGCACACCACCCCAACCCAATCCATTCGCCCTCCAGTCCTGGGGGGTGGGGGGGTCGGGGAACATCGAGAACACACATCTGGAACCCGTACCCCCTCCCCGCCCAAGCCCGGAATTCGGGCCTTCGGGCTGGGTGGGGGTGGTCTTCTCTGGGAAGCCCTTCCAGGCCTCCTGGATGGGGTCGGAGTAGATGGGGTCGGAGGATCGCGCCGCACTGCCGATGCATCGCCGATGCGGCTCGATTTGCTTCACGACGACGACGTCGCCGCTGCATCGCCGCGACGTCGGCGATGCGTTGGCGATGCGTCGGCGATGCGGCGCGATCCTCAGACCCCATCTACTCCGACCCCGTCTAAGAGGCCTCTAGCATACGATAGCGGACGAAGAGCTGTGTGGCATGAAGCTGTCCACCGTCGAGGACGCCTACCCAGGGGCGGCTGGAGCGTGCTACTGGAGGGCTCGGTAGCAACTCATGGGAGCCTCGTGCAGTGGAAGCCCATACCAACAACAAACACCCTGCTTGCCTCCAGGGTGCCCCATGTTTCTTGGGTTTCGATGGTTTTGCTATGGAGAGCGTGACGTTTCCGTACCAAAACCAATGGATGTCTTGGGGTCTCAGGTTTTGGTTTCTTGTGGAAGGTTTCTTGTGGTCGAGCTCCGACTGGGTGTCCTCGTTGTTCCGTTTGTGGAATGCATTCGCGTGCGCTAGCGTGTGCGAATCGATGATGCAGCGCCGATCTTGCTCCGGTTAGCGCCGATTTTTGGTGTCGATTCTGGTAGATTGGCGTCGACTAGCGTTGCTTAGCGTCGGTTCGCAATCGCCAGCAAGATGACATGGAAGGCTCCCATGGGTTGCCGCAGAAGGATGGGTGCTCAGTAGGTTCCTGTCGTGTCGACCAGCAGCGACCCTGCCGCCAGCGCTCAACCTCGAGCGCCGCCAGTGGCCCTGGCGATCGGATAGCATGGGACGATGTGGCGATCGGAACGCCGCCGATCGTTCAGGGCCGAACGACCCACGCAGCGTCAGAAGCCATCGCCAGGGTCGCCACGGCACGAGGCCGCCGCACACTCTCCAGCCGCCCCGGGGACAGGCGCCCCCCGACGGCGCCACGCCCCGTGCCCCGTGCCGCCCAAGCCTCCGCCCGCGAGGAGGCGGCGCGGCGGGAGGAGCAGCGGAGGCTCTCGGCGCTGCGGCGGGAGCAGGAGCGCCTCGAGCAGCGGGAGCGGGCGCTGCGGCAGCAGGAGCGGCTGCAGGAGCGCGACGACGAGCAAAGCACGGCACAGCACGCACACGCGCACGGCTGGGGGACGGCGGGGGATGGCGTGCGGCGTGGCGCCGCCATGCCCGCTTCTGACACGCCGTGCCCGCTGCACACCACGCCTCGTGGGGGCAGCGTGCGCGGAGGACGCCCCGACGCATGGGGCGTCGCGCAGCACGGGAGGATCTCTCGCGCAGGGGGGGGCCCGCCGCACGGGCACGGCGTGCCGCGGAGGAAGCCCTCTGCTCTGGGGGACGGCGGGCGTGGGGGAGCTCGGTGCTGCTGCACGCCGTCTCTGCGGCGCCAGCTGTGCGTATACTTTCGGAGCTTCGAGTGGGTTTTCTCGGGGCTCCGCGCGTACGCCCACTTTCGGAGCCCCCCTGGCGGCGCCTCTGGCGCGGCCCCTTGGTGCGCTCCCCGCGCCAGGGAAGGGCGGCCTTTGGCGCCGACCCAAGAGGTCCGCGCGGGGCTGTGCGCCAACTTATGCTTACAGTGGAGACCCACGCCAAGAAACACCTTGCTTGCCTCCAGGTGTGCCCTGGGTTTCTTGGGTTCCGATGGTTCTGCTGTGGCAGGCGCGATGCTCCCACACCCAAACATCAAGGGACGTCCTGGGGTCTCAGGCTCGGGTTTCTTGTGGAAGGTTTCTTGATTTCTTGTGGTCGAGCTCCTGTGTGTCCCCGTAGCGTGCGCCAGCGTGTGGTAATCGATGATCTACCCTCCGATCTAGCTCCGATGAGCGTCGACTTTCAGCGTCGATGATGGTCGACTGGACTAGCCTCCCCTGTGTGCTTATGCTGTTGAGGAGGAGGAGGAGGAGGAGGAGGAGGAGGAGGAGGAGGAGGAGGACGGAGGATGGAGGATGGAGGATGGAGGATGGAGGATGGAGGATGGAGGTGGAGGATGGGGATGGAGGATGGAGGATGGAGGATGGAGGTGGCGGATGGAGGATGGAGATGGGAGGATGTAGATGGAGGATTGATGATGGAGGACTAGAGGATGGAGGATGGAGGATGGAGGATGGAGGATGGAGGATGGAGGATGGAGGATGAGATGAGGATGGAGGATGGAGGATTGAGGATTGAAGGAGGAGGAGGAGGAGGAGGAGAGGAGGATGAGGAGGAGAGGCGGAGGAGGAGGAGGAGGAGGAGTAGGAAGAGGATGATGCAGGAGGAGGAGGATGGATTCTCCGAGGAGAAGCTGCGGGAGCGGGCCGTGGTGCGCATCCAGGCCTGCGTGCGGGGGCGGCAGGCCCGGGTGCTGGCGGCGGCCAGGAGCGCGGGCAAAATCCACCTGCTGCCCGTGCCCCGCTGCGCCCTGGAGTTTCTCGGGCTCCCCCCCGCCGAGGAAGCCCGAGGCGCAGTGGGCAGACGGACATCCACCGCAGAACAACAAGAAACGCCACCGACATCAACTCTGAGGGGCTCCGCGCGGATTCCCTGGCTCCGCGCGGGGCCCCCCCCCCTCCCGGCGACGCCTCCGGCGCCGCCCCTGGCGCGCCCCGGCGCGCCCAGGGAGGGGGTCCAGCGCGGATCCAAGAAAACCGCGCGGAGCGCCCAAAGTTTATGCTTGTGGCGTTTTTTGGGGTTCTTCTCCTAATCAATCTGGCCTTCCTGGAGGGGCCAGACGTTTTTCCATGCCCACTGCGTCTCGGGTTTTCGGCATCCCCCAGCATCTCTTGGCCTCGCAGATGGGATCCGAGGAGATGGGGTCGGAGGATTGCGCCGCTTCGCCGAGGCGTCGCCGAGGCATCGGCGACGTCGGCGATGCATCGGCGACGTCGGTGTGGAAAATGTCGGGCTCCATATCGAGCCGCGTCACCGATGCCTCGGCGATGCGGCGCGATCCTCCGACCCCACCTGGGAGGCCTCTGAGCTAAGCGTCCAGGGCGCCGTGGATGTGCACACGGTCGGGAACTTTTGGGTCGCGCGTCGCTCCGCCCGTCCTGGCCCACCACGCTTCCGCGCGACACGCTCTCTCCGCTTCCCGGCCCGGCCGGAGTTGACGCCCCCGGCTCTCCTCCGAGCCCCCCGCCCCGCGGAGCGGATGGCGCCCCGCCCTCCGCTCGCGCGGCGTGGCGTGTCACAGGGGCTGCCGTGCTCCAAGAGTGACCGACGTGACCTCAAGATGGCCCAAGAGGCCTCCAGGACATTGAGTCTCTGTCTTTCTCGTGGCATCCTGCAAGACAGCGTCCTTTCCCAGGAGGGCAACTCGCCATGTTGTGCCTGTCTTGGCAGTGTCTTCGATGCGGTCAGAACTGACTGGAGAGTACGTAGCGTGGTGGCCGCTTGCGTGTAGTGGGCGACACTCTTGCTTGGCTTGTTTTCCACCACCACCACCATAAGTTGGAGGGGGAGGGGGTCCTCCTCCTCCTCTTCTTCGTCCTCCTTCTCCTCGTCCTCCTCCTCCTCCCCCCTCCAACTTATGGTGGTGGTGGTGGAGAACACGCCCATCAACTCTGAGCACGAGCTCCCCGACCGCATCGCCGGGTGCCGACGCCGCGCCGGCGTCGCGCCGACGCCGCGGCGACCCCGCCGCGGGCGCCCGAGGCGGAACGCCGCCGGTGGCCCCAAGGCGGCCAGGACGCGGCGAGCCAGCGAGGGAGGCGCCGCCGTCCGACCGTGGAAGCCTCCTCCTCCTCCTCCTCCTCCTCCCTCCTCCTCCTCCTCCTCCTCCTCCTCCCTCCTCCTCCCTCCTCCCTCCTCCTCCTCCTCCCTCCTCCTCCTCCTCCTCTCCTCCTGCTGAGGGCTCCTGAGAGGCCCCCCCTTCCCTCCTCCTCCTCCTCCTCCTCCTCCTCCTCCTCCTCCTCCTCCTCCTCCTCCAGCCCCCGCGCGGCTCAGGGCCCGCCAGGAACAGGGGTTCACGGCGCTTCCACAGTGTGCCGAGGGGTCGGAGAGCTCCTCTATGCGTGCCCATGGCGCCAGCGCGGGCGCCGCGGCGAGGACCGCCCTGCGGATCCTCGCTTTCAACCCCCTGCGCGCGACGGGCGAGCGGCTCCACGAGTTGCTCGCCGCGACCTGCTCCTCCGATGCCCTCTTACTTGCGGGAACCAAGGAAAGTTGCAGGAGGGGGACGGGAGTGCTACGACGACGAGTAGACGGGAGGCTGGTGATTGAAGCTGTCTATTCGCCTGGTGCTTATACTAACAGCTCAACAGGGTGCTCAGTAGTCTTAGGCCCAGAATACCTGGACCAGGACGTCGCCCAGGTGTGGGGGTCTCCAGCAAACTGTGGGGGGAGGGCTGTGGCTGCCAGGATAAAACGTGGTGCGGTGGATGTGACCCTGGGAACCCTCTACTACCCGCCGCAACCCTCCAAACGTGGACAAGCAGGCCCCTACTATGCTACTGTACAAACACTAACCAGATGGATGAGAGACCTGTTGCAAGAACTCCCTGCGCGTACTTTGCCCATATTTTATGCAGATTTAAACGACGGACTAGGATGCTCCAAAACCGCAGGTACATGGACCGAACCACCGAGTTCCTCTATTGGTCCCTATAGGAACAGAGAGGCCCGACGACGCGGGGCGGGCGAGGAAATCCGCAAGCTGCTCGTGGAGCAGCACCTTGTCGCGCCGTCGACTTTCCTACCCTTCGAGAACACCTTCTACTCGTCCGCCAACCCTCCGACGTCATCGAGAATTGACTATTGGTTTCTTTCCGCTGGATACCACGAACGTGTTCGGCTATGTAAGGTATTGCGCCCCTTAGGGGCTCAGCTGCAAGCAGTTAAAGGACTACCCCCCCGAGATCACCTACCTCTTTGCCTTGTACTGGACTACGAAAAGGACCCGTACATGCTGCCCCAGGCGCCCCCGAAGAGAATGGACCCTTCTGCGCTCATACAAGCAGTCCGCAGTGGAAAAGGTAAGAACAACTTCCTCCAGGCAGTAGCAACGGAACTGGAAGCACGTGGGGCTGAGTTCGAGGGCTACGCCCAGACAGGATCGGCTGACACCTTCTTCGAAAAAATGGAGGATGTATTGACTATTATCGGGCACCGACATTTTTCGCGTGGACCCCAGGCATCGGATCCTAATGCGACTAAACGTCGACGAGAGCTACTGCGACTGCGTCTTCAACTTAAGGAGTCCAAACTTAATCTGCCACCGGTGGAGGGGGACCAGGAGGACAAGCTGAAGGAGGTGGAGGAGGAGCTGAAGAGGTTGTCTGCCTTGCTGCTTGCCGAACGACGACGTGCCAGGAAGGAAGAGAGGAGGATGTACATCGAGATGATCGAGGAGGCGTGGAGGGAGAGGAGGATGGCGGACGCTACGACGTTGTCGAGGAAGGCGGCCAGGACTCGTTTCGGTGCGGAACAACGAGATGGCCGCCGTCTCGGACCCCCTCCCTTGGACAAGGAAGTCTGGATCGAGCATCTTTCCAAAACGGGGCCTGAAGGGGGTATGGAAGCTAGACAACTGGACTGGTCGGAATGGAGGCAAGAGAGGGAACATTTACCAGTCCCCCCTACGTCAGCGGGCGACGAGGACGCCATTGCGCAGTTGGCTGGCGAGGATTTCGACACGCTTAGGAGCTACTGCAGGAAGGCAGGGAAACGCAGTGTGGTGCCACCAGGGCCACACCACTGGAGATCTGGGATATGCTCTTGTCCCCCTTGCACGGCATCTCTTCGCGGGGGCACGGCCTGGGACACAATGAGGAACCCCCTGATCTTCGAAAAACCCATTACCTTCTTCATCTTGGGCTAGCTCAGATAAGACGAACAGATTTGTCGCCGCTGTACTGGCGCCGCTCCAAGGGCATCGGACTCCACAAAAACGACTCGGTGGGGCCTAGGGGACGTAGAGTAATCCACACCCTCCCCGCCATCGGGAAGGCTTGGTATGCACGTCGGATATCCCACAGGCTTCCTATTCAGGACCACGGCTTTGCTAGGCACCGTCGCCGAGAGGACGCAATCATGTCGACGATGATCGTGTGCTATCGGTTGCGCCAGGCCAAGTGGTCATATGCAGTCGCGCTTAAGGACCTTTCGAATGCCTTCGGAAGTACTAAATGGAGCAAGCTAGACGAAGTCGTTCGAGAAACAGTTCGTCCTTGTGATCGAGTATTACGCCGTCAACGTGATCGACTATCGGTTGTGGAGTTAGATACCACGACGGGTCCACTAATGGTTTAAACAGGAGTTGGCGGAGTCATGGTTGATCCCTTTAACGTTCACGGTTTCTCAGGAGGTCTTGTTGATCCGGTTAAGCTATGGGCATCAGGTATGTTAGAGCGTATACCCACGACCTCGATATTGTTAGGAGAATGGTGCGGTGAACCAGCGGACATGTCATTCCAGAAGTACGCCGACGATTTGTTAAGAACGATCCCACTGGCCACGGGCACTAGCATGCGTGAGGTATACCAGGCATTACGTACATCAGACGAGTTACTAGATACGGCACTTTCTACAGCAGGCTACACGCAGAACAAGAGCAAGCAGGTCGCGTTATTCTACATCGAAGGACAGCGCGCCACCGATTGCAAGAAGCACATCAGAGAGCACGGTCTCGCTAAGAAGCAGATGGAGGGAACAGTTACCGATGTGGCAAGATACTTGGGACCAGTGTTAACACCCACGCAGCAGTCTTCTCCAGAGGTCGAACGACGTCTCTCGGCAGCGACCTCATCGTACTACAGCGTGGGCAGTTTCTGGAACCTTCCCCTTCCTCAGGCCTGGCGTCGCACGATCTTCCAAGGGCTGGTCCAGGGTTCTCTGTTGACGGGCATGGAACCTTTCTTAGTAAGTACGAAACAAATGGAAGCTATGGATAGGCACCTAGCAAGATTGGGAAGAATGGCGATGAGGGGGAGGGCTTGCACGACGAGGGAGGACGGGTCCAAGCGCGCGCTCAGCACGCACGAGGTTCTGGCATACTGGGGGGTTGTCACTACCAAGCGAGAATTGTTAGCACGGCGTCTTGCATGGTACCAAGATTGGGCAGTGAATCAGGAGTCCCACGTGCAAGTGTTGTCCGCACTCTTCGGCGTGTTCCCCTTTGAGGCGATGGATGCGATGCCGTGTAATGCTACGGGATTGACACAATGCGCTTCCCCTTGGACCCAGAGAGTTGGGACGGACATCCTTGAGTCGGTACGTTTCTGCTATGATGAAGAGGAGCTTCTCACTAGGATTGGAGACTGTCCCTGGCTACTGATCGAAGATGATGATTGCCGTCGAGATTTCGCCCGAATCGATTTTCGCAGAGTTAGAGCCGCTGAACGCACGTATGCCATCCCACCCCCCAATTTCGAGCAGAAGGAGACAGAGGAGGAAGGCGGCATCAACGAGCAGATGGAGGAGGAGGAGTACCCCTACAAGTGCACAGCCTTCGTCAGGGACGGGGAGGGGCCAGAGGAGGAGTGTGGAGCACGTTTTAGGACGCAGAAGGGGCTTATGGAGCACCTGCGCCATCGTCATCACATTCGTAACCTCCCACGCGCTCTTACCAAAACAAATCAATGCCCAGTATGTGTCCGAGTATTTCGTTCCCAAACCACTGCTGCCAGACATCTACAGGCATCAATACTGCGAGGATATTGCGGGCGTTGGGAACCACGATCCTTGGTAGAGTTCAAACCGCCCGCAGACTTCAGTTGCAACATGTGCTCGTTCGTGGGTGGGGATTGGGAGGCCCTCCGTAGCCATCAGCTGGCCCATCTTCCATATCGTGTGCTACCTTTTCCACATCGTGCTTCTCACGAGCCTCCCTTTGCCAGCCATGCCAGAGGTCGGAGCGGCGGGATCGGGCTCCGCGGGCGTGGCGATGCCCAGCTGGATGAAGAGGACGGCGGGGGCCCCAGACTCGGGGGCCAAACGCGCGCGAGGCGGCTCCCGTATTCAGGGCGTCAAGAAGGATGGCGACAAGTGGGAGACGGAGCTGCTCGTGCTGATCGCGAAACTGGTGTTGTCGGGGGCCCGCCAGCTCGCGTCTCTGGAGAACGCGGTCTACGAGACGTACTTCGCGGAGGAGGGAGACGCCAACGCAGTTGGCGCGGTGTGCAAGGCCGCGGGCGCGGCCTACGACCTAGAGTCGAAAACGCTCAAGGAGCGCGAGAAGGCCGGAGAGACCATCGACTACAAATCACGCGGGGCCCCCTGCGTGCAGGTGTACATCTCGGTTCTCAAGAGGGTGCTCGACAAGACGGGCCCCGCGGGCCCCAACAAGGGCGACGAGTGCTACCAGAAGGTGAAGACCTACTGGGACGAGGTGGTGCTCAAGAGGCCCCCCCCAGTCCATCGCGATGGACGTGCTGCACTTCAAGTACAAGCGCGCGAGCAAGGACTCGACCCAGGGCGTGCTGAGCCTGGCCATCTGCTTGCGGGAGCAGATCGTAGCAGACATGTGGGAGAAGGTGCTCCACTTCCTGGTGCAGACGGACGGCCTGAAGAGGGCGACAGGCCCAGCTCCTCGGGGGCCACTAGAGCGCGAGGTGTCGAGGATCATAGGCGAGATCCACTCGTCCAAGGGCGGCGGCAAGGGCACCAAGAAGGGAACTGGCTCTTGAGCAGCTCGAGATTAGCTGAGCTGGTAGCCAGAGGACACGTACCAGTCGAAGTGGCGGCCTCACTGCACTCTCCTACGCTACAGTCCTACGCCTCTTCCTCGCTTCCCACCGTTCCTGTTGCCTTCATCCCTAGGCCAGTTGACCAGCAGAGTGCTAGAGGCCGTGCAGTAAGGAGACCTACTGAAGAGAATACTGAATTGCCAGGACCCGCTCCACAGGGAGCCAGAGGCACCGCGAGATGGCGTGCCTCCAGTCCGCCAGGCCGTCCAGTCGGACGCCCAGGCCGAGCCAAGGGAGGAGGGCGGGGCTCGAGCTCGTTCGACCGTCGTCGCGTGGGGAAGGGAGAGAATGGTGCGCGCTAGTCCCCGTGGTGGCAGCTGCCAAGGGCTGCGCGCCTGTGTTGGCAGCCCGCCGCTGTAGGGGCAGCGCGGACATTTGTCCGAGAGGCCAAGGGCCGTCTCTCGAGTAAAGTGGAACCACACAGTCGCAAAAGCGACGCCCAGAGGTCGTAGTAGGCTACACTTTGCTAACTGCCAGACCTCCGCGGGTCATCTGATCTGATCTGATCTGATCTCCTCCTCCTCCGCCCTCCTCCTCCTCCTCCTCCTCCTCCTCTTCCGCCCTCCTCCTCCTCCTCCTCCTCCTCCTCCTCCTCCTCCTTGCTGGCTCACAGCGCACGAGCCTGCCTGTGGCAGGCCAGCGGGCGCGGTGTGCTCTGGGGCGGCCCCCAGCGGCGTTCTGAGTCGCGCCGCGGGGCTGCGCCACGCCAGGGACGCTCCTCCTTCTCCTTCTCCTCCTCCTCCTCCTCCTCCTCCTGCTCCTCCTCCTCCTCCTCCTCCTCCTCGGATGGGGGCTGTGGGGCGAGGATGAATCTGTTCCAGAGCGTTCTGGAACGCTCCCAGAGCGCTCCAGAGCGCTCTGAGAGGGCCGAGGCGCCCGAGAAATCGTCCAGAGCCGCTGGATCTCAAGGGCTCTCTTGATTCATCCACACCCGCTGTTGTCCTCGCCCTGGCTTCGTCTTAGGAGAGCAAATTGCACCTGAGAAAACCCCAATCAATGGATGATTTGAAAATAAGTCGTATGGATCTTGAGATCGATTGTGAGATCGATAATGAGATCGATAGTGGAATTGACAGTTGACGATTGTAAGGTCGATCGTGAGACCGAGAGTGAAATCGATTCAATGAGATCGATAGGGAGATCGATCGCGAGATCACTCGTGCGATCTCTAGTGAGATCGCTTGCGAGATCGATGGTGAGATCGATGGTGACATCGATAGAGAGGTGGGAAATGAGGTCGATGCTGAGACCGATCGATAAGAAGATCGACCAGGAACCCGGGAACCCGGGAGCCTCGCCGCCCACCGCAATCGGCCCGGGGATCGGGAACCCGGGAACCCGGGAACCCGGAACCAGACACCTGGGAACCGGGCCCGCCACCAAAAGCGGCGCGAAACATTTGCCTTCTCTCTCAATCTCCGCTAGGAGGGGAGGGACAGGAGGACGAGGAGTAGGAGGAGGGGGAGGAGGAGGAGGAGGAGGAGGAGGAGGAGGAGGAGGAGGAGGAGGAGGAGGAGGAGGAGAAGTAGGAGGAGGAGAAGGAGGACCCCTTCAGTGCAAGCACCGATTGGGGAAAAGCCCATCCCCGCGGCGCCGGGCGCCCACGCCGGGGGGTCCACGCGCCTCGAGCCCGCGCGCTCGAGCGCGCCTTGCGCCCGCGAGGAGGCGCAGGGCCCGGGAGCTCGCCGAAGGCCGACGCGCGGAGGCGGAGCTGCGCCAGCAGGAGCGGCGGGTGCTCGAGGCTCGGCATCGTGGAACCGATCCCCATCCCCAGAGGAGGAAGAGGAGGAGGAGGAGGAGGAGGAAGAGGACGAGGAGGAGGAGGAGGAGGAGGAGGAGGAGGAGGAGGAGGAAAAGGAGGAGGATTGTGCTAGGATTGTGCTACTTAGGACTTACGCAGATGGAGAGCACCACGCAAGCCGCCTTCGCCGTGTAAGTTATTACTTACAAGGGCTTCCCTGTGGATGGATGGCGGCCCTCCCACAAACGCGTCAGTCGACCCTTGGCCGTCCGAGCTCGGGCGGGCTTGCAGCCCTCCTTCACTAGGTTCGTCCACTTACACTGAACGTAGGAAACGCATCGCCTGCAGAAAACAAAATTGGGGCGAAACACAAGGTGGTGCCCTAGCCCCTGTGCCTTAATAGTGCGTGCTTGTCGGGCTTCGAATTCGACAGATTCAGCGCCCGACGGCCCGCTCTGAGTCTGGTTGGTGGCCCTGGGATCTTCCTGGTCCCTGGGGCCCACCGACGGGGAAGGGGGAGGCATCAGAGGAGGAGCAGGATTCGACTCGGCGGCCTGGCTCGGGGCTGGTCCTCTGATGCTGCTCGGTTCGACATCGGTAATCGTATCGACGACGTCGGACGACATTGCGCCGAGCCTTACAGCAAACTCCAGGGCATCTGCTACCATGCTATACTTCTGCTGATATGCCTGTCGCTGCCAGAAAGGGTGCGCACACAACTTAGCCCCCTTCTTCGCGTATTCGTCCGCGAAGCGGTTGCCTCTGAACAGTCTCTCGCCTATCTCTCGCCGCTGGGCTCGAGTGGCGTGGGCCTTTATCTTTAATATCTGGATGGTCCTGGGGCCCAGCCCTCCAAGATCGTTCACCAGAAACCAAAACTCTCGCCAGAGATCACTGTGGGCCCTGGCAGGTGACGTGCACCACTCCTCCCCTCTGGAAGTTCCGTCTACTACAGCCTGACAGTCACAATAGATTTTGAGGGGCGGCATCGCGCACCTCAGCACCTGAAGGATGGCATATAGTTCAGACGGGTATATCCCTTGCCTATTTTGTGGCAGGGGGAGGGGGCCGAACGCTGAAAAAGCAAGGCTCTCCCCCGAGGCATCGAGGGTGGCGAAGCTCCACCCCGCACGCCGAAGGGGAATACATTCACCGTACAAGAGAGATCCATCTGTGAAACCCTCTCCTGTGATGGCTCCTGGATGTTCGCCCTCATGCTGGACCTCGAACGAGACTGGCAGAACATCCAGGAGCTCTACTGGGTCCTCGGAGATACCTCTGGCCCAGAGTGCTTCGACACCAGGGAACGGGTTTGCTCCTCTGTGCTGCACGTGCCTGCCGCCTACACGCCTGCGCATCGCATCTCGCGCGCTGCATACATACGTGCGGTGCAAGTCTGTTCCTACAGCACTCATGCATGCCTGGCACTGGTCGGTCGTCGCACGACCAGCCTTGAATATTCTCTGTTGGGGCCACGTGCCTCCCGCAAACAAGGTTCGGGCCCGCGCGCGATGCTCTGCAGTCCACTTTTCAGACAGTGGCCTGCGGAGCAGCATTCTAATCGGCTCCAGAAAGACGTTCTTAGAGACATTCACCTCAGGACCCCAACGCGCAAGCCAGCTGCTCTGCAGCCCAGAATGTGTGGCCTGGCGCACGACGGAGTGAAGGTAGTACAAATCAATCTGAGCCAAATCGTGCACCTCTGTCCCGCATGTGACTGTAGCTGGACTCTGGGTGCTCCAACCAAGGCGAATTACAGTTGCAATGAAAGCGCCTGCTGGTCCTCTCACTAGGCCCCACGGCCTCGGATGCCCGTGGAGTCGCATGACCCACGAGCGCCAGCTCGCCACCAGGAGGTCCCGTGTGGCCATGTCCGTCGCCTCCTGCCACGCCCTGGCCCACTCCACGACGGGCCCCGCGTTGGCGACCACGGCAGGGTCCGCGTCGTCCGCCAGCAGCGCCAGCGAGGCCGACCTCCCCTTCTTGCATCCTGGGAAGGCCGCTGCCACAGTCTGCCTGAGCGTGGTGATGAGCGTGTCCGTGGCGCCCAGCACGCGCGTGCCGTAGAGCTCCGACGGCGCGATCCCGAGCCTGACCACCTTCTCCGCTGCACCTCCTGCGGCCTTGACCCGCTGGATCTTCCAGCTCCTGGCCTTGGCCTTGATGATCCTCTTGGACTGGGCTCCGGCACGTCGTCGCCGCGCAGCTGATCGGGTCACGCCCAAATGCACGGCCTCGCGCACCACCTGAATGCCCATCTGCTTGTTCTGGCTGCCTAGTTGCCGCTCCACTTTGCCATGCGAGACCGCGACCACGGTCTTGCCGTCCCTGCCTCTCGAGACCTGCAGCTTGAGCACCTGCTCGAGAGCGAAGACGATCTCGTCGGTCAGCTTCATGTGGAGCGCTGCCGCGGCGGTCGCGTCGCCCCTGGTCGACGCCGCGAGGTCGTCGAAGTAGAGGCACATGTCGGCCCTCGGGTTCGCTATGTAGAGGTCGTCGATAGCGCCGATGAGCACGAGGGACAAACACAGTGGGCCGAACACGGATCCTGCCACGATCCCTTGCGCCCAGAAATTGCCCTCGGTGTAACACCCATTCAGCACCATTTTCCTCATCAAAGAAAATGCTCTCAATATGACGCGCAGCAAGGGCCTTGGGAATCCCCAGCGCAGGCCACCGCTCCAAATGAGAGAATGCAGCGCGGTCTCGTAGCACTTCCTCAAGTCGTAATATGTGGTGGCGATGGTTTCGCCCTGCGCCAACGACCCTTCAGCTAGGGGGCCCTGCATCCAGGCCGCTCGTTCAGCAGACCTGCCCTTCGCAGCCCAATCATATGCTCGTGGATTTCGGCTTTGCCATTTCTGGATCTCGGGGCGCCTGATCTTCTCCCATACTCGTGCGAGCTCAGGTAGAAGCCCCAAATTCCTCATGCCGCCCTTGGGCTTGGGCTGAAGCCAGAAAATGATGCACTGCTGCGAGACGGGCCAGTCGGATCCGCGCTCGATGCAGTTCAGGATACTCGCCAGGCCTGCTAGGCCAACCGCTGGCCCTTGGCCCCACAGCCTGGGGTGGATGTTGGACTCGCCCAGGCCCGTCTTGGGGGAGCACGCCTTGCAGGCGTGCAGCACGTGGTGGCCGAGGATGGGCGGTAGCGTAGACTCGTCTACCGCAGGCGGCTCGAACCATGGCGCAGCCCAGTCCACCTGGTAACGCCATGTGCTCTCCCACTCCTGCAACGCTGTGTTGGCGGCTGTCTGCGGGTCCATCATGGCGACGTGCTGGGGCGTCTCACCCGCAGGGGCCGTCTGTGGAGGCTCACCGAGACTGGGTTTTGCCTCCCTCGTATTCTGTGGTATCAAGGGCTCCCACGGGACCTTCGGCTTGGTCCACTTGTGCAGGGCCCCCGCGGACTTCTCGCTGTGGTTGCGCACCCATGCCCGCCAGGACTTGGTGGCTTCCTTGAGCTCGCTCTGCCTCGCCTCGTCCGCCTCACACGCCGCGACCTGCTGCCAGTACTCGATGTATTCCAGGCTCTCTGTCAGCTCCTGCTGCTCATTCATGCATTCCAGGATGGTCTCGAGGACGTGCGGCCACGGGGTCTTCAGCTCCTCTCCATACTGGTGGAGTTGTGCGAGGGCCCACTGCTGGGTCATCGCCTCCTTGATGGACTTGCTGTGGCTCGCCTCCTGGCCGCCTGCCTCGCGCAAGTCGCTGCTGAGGCTGTGGGCCAGGTCCCTCAGGATACTCGCTACCCATTCTGTTGCCATAGTTCGCGCCGTCGGGGCTCCCTTGTCCCTGACCGTCGGGGGCGCTAGCTCTCGCATCTTGTAGACGGCCTTTTCGCCATGCCCACTGTGGGCCAGCAGCTCATCGCCGTCAAAGCAGTGCTATCTGTTCCAGTGCATCTCGTAGGCGTGCATGAGATCGTGCCAGAAGGCGTTCAGAGTCTCGTGGTCGACGCGCCCCCTACGGAGAGGACGTGGCCACTGCACTGGTGGGGTGGGGCACCCTGTTGGCACAGTCAAGGGCCATGGTACCTTCTGTATGAGCTGGAGGGCCTGTGGCACAGGCGATCGGCGTCCCATCTTCATCATGATGGGCCTATGGGGCTTGGCCGCAAAAGCCGCCATGACATCAGCTCGAAGCCCATTCTCCAGCAAACTCTCCGAGACGATAAAGTAGTCCCTGACCGAGTAGTTGCCCGTGCTTCCCCTGCACGTGCCTTCACTCTTGTCGTAGACCAGGTGCCCCTTCAGCTTGGCGATGATACCCGTGCTCATCAGCTCGTGAGGCTCCATGTTGAAGTCGCCGCCGAGCACCCGCGGTTGGCCTGCCACGGCCATGAGCGCCCCGAAGCGGCTGAGTATTGTGAGGTTGCGGTTCGAGGGCCCTTCTTACACGATGCGTGCCGGCTTCATGTCGCAGCCCACACAGAGACTCCTTGGGCGAGGCGTCCCACTTCATCAGCTCGGGCAGGTAGGTGATCCCCATGCGGCTTGGCACCGCGATGATCACCCCCGCCCCCATGCCTTGCTTAGTAGGCGCACTGGGCACCACTGCCGCCTTCCAGCCATATTTGATGAGCCTGGCCGACAGCAACTCTACTTGCTTGGGCGCCAACTGTAACTCCTGGCCGAAGACGACTGGGGCCTCGACCTGGTAGCGCAGCTGGAGCAAAACCTTCTCGAACTGGTTTGAGGTGTTCGCATTGCATGTGATGAGCACCTGCTTCTCTGCCCTGGTACTTGCACACTGCTCTGGTGTGTCACTAGGAACGCGACAGGCTCGACTTCCGCATTGCAAAGTGGAAACCATCAGCCATGTCAGCAATAATCGTATGCAACATCGGCCCGTGCTTCTGGATCTCGTCGTCCTTGACACCGGCCTGCTTGAGGGCTGTCGTGATCTCCTGGGGGCTTGCTTTGGCCTTGAGCTTGAGGACGTCCTCACTCTGCTCCTCGGGGCCGATGCTAGCGCGCCTCTTGTGGCGTGGTCCGTCTCCGCTGAGGCTGTCCCCGTCTTCATCCATCGGCACGGCCATCTTCTCTGCAGCGCTCGCCTTCTTCTTCGCCGCAAGTGCGAGGGCCGCCTCCAACTGCTTGATGACCTCCGCATCCTGCTCCTCGCCGTCGGCCCCCAGGGGCGTCTTGGCGAGCTCCAGGTGCGCGCAGACCGAGTCCCAGCCCTTGGACGTGGGGGGCCTGGCGAGCGCCTTCTCCTTGGCACGGAGGGACTCGACCTTCTTGTTAGCCTGCTCGGCCTTGTTCTCTGCGGTGCGCAGCTGAGTCTGGATGTCCTCGAGCTGCTGCTTGAGCTTTGCCACTTGGGCATCAGCCTTCGTCTGTGATTTCTCTGCTCCACGGAGACGGCGGCGCACTGCCACTTCCGCGTAGCATGCTGGTAGCGTTGCTTCCTTTTGTGCCAGCAGCCCGTCGATCTGTTCCTGCAACTTCGACGTGGCATCCGATGCGAACTCCATGCCGGGCTCCTGCGCGAGCTGTTCGAGATCCTTGAGGCGGGCCCTGTCGATTTCCAGCTTCTTCGCGATGCCCGACGTGGTCTCGTTGGAGGCGTCGCCATCGGCATCCTGGTGTGTGTCCTTCGGTCCATCGCCCTGCCCGTCTCTCTTGAGCGCCTGCCGAGGCTTCTTGCACCAGTAACATACTTTTGTCCTTCCCCAACAATCGTCTGTGTGGCACACTGAGCAGGTCCACGCATCGCCAGACTTGGGGGGCATCTGGGTGCTCGGGGCGGCGGTGCCACTGCCAAGTTTGCCGCACCCTGCGGCACGAAAAATCTCCTGGCACCTGGAAATCCTCGAGTCGGGCAATGGCTACAAGAGAGGAGGAGGAGGAGGAGGAGGAGGAGGAGGAGGAGGAGGAGTAGGAGGAGGAGGAGGAGGAGGAGAGGAGGAAGGAGGAGGAGGGAGGCGAGAGGAGTAGGAGGAGGAGAGGAGGAGGGGGAGGGGGGGGGGGGAGGATGCGGAGGCGGCGGCAGGAGAAGGCGGAGGAGGAGAGGTGAGAGGAGGATGAGGAGGATGAGGAGGGAGGAGGCAAGATGGAGGAGGAGGGGAGGAAGGAGGAGGAGAGAGGAGGAGGAGGAGGGAAGGGGAGGAGGGAGGAGTGAAAGGAGGAGGGGGCTCACACGCGGATCCCCCACCCAGTATGGCGCTCCGTGGCCCCACAGGGAGCTCCACCCAAGGCCCCAGCGCCATGCCCAGCCCCAGCCCCAAACCGATCCCCAGCCCCATGCCCATCCCCTTCGAGACCCCCACCACATGACCACCCCCAGTGGGGGCAAGCCCCTCGAGACCCGAAGGGAACGACTATTATACCTCCATCTGTGGCGGGCGAACTCGGCCAGGGGGGCCCAGGCAACCTTCCGAGGAGGCTTCCCCCTATGGGGCCACGAAGCGCTCACTGGATAGGATCCGCACGCGCTGGGGCCTTGGGTGGAGCTCCCTATGGGGCCACGAAGCGCCATACTGGGTGGGGGATCCGCGTGTGAGCCCCCGCCTCCTCCTCCTCCTCCTCCTCCTCCTCCTCCTCCTCCCCCGTCTCCTGCCTCCTCCTCCTCCTCCTCCTCCTCTCCTCCTCTCCTCCTTCCTCCTCTCCTCCCTTCCTCCTCCTCCTCCTCCTCCTCCTCCTCCCCCCCCTCCCCCTCCTCCTCCTCCTCCCCCTCCACCTCCTCCTCCTCCTCCTCCTCCTCCTCTGGGGATGGGCATCGGGCAAACGATGCCCCGAGGCAGAGCAGCTGGGCGCGGCGCGGCGCGAGGAGCGCGCGCGGCTGGAGGAGCTCCCTGAGAGCCGTCCGGCGGGCACTTTTTCGGGCTGCCGCTGCGGGGGCGAGTCATGTTGTTATTCAGAGCGTGAATTACCTACCCCGCTTTCGCTTCCAGGCAAAACCAAGTCATACCACACGCCTCTTCGGCAGGCGGCCTGACCAATACATGTCGTAGTTTGGCATCGCTTGGTATCTCTTGGAAGCGAGGATGGTCAAAAGCGAGGTAGGTTTGTTTGCCCCTTAGTTATGTCGGGCCTGTCCCCCTACAGGGGGTTTTTGACGAAACATAAAAATCCAGCATGCCCCAAAATGGCAAACAAATATATAATTATATATTATATGATTATATATAATTATATATATATATATAATCGTCCCCAGGCTATTTTTGGATTTTTTTTTTTTTATTTTATTTTTTCGTCGAACATTCCCCTGTAGGGGGACACGCCCGACATACTCGTATTGCCTGGGCCTCGGGTGGCACCGCAGCGTCATGCGGTGTGCTGCCAGTGATGCTCGCGGAGGCAGCTGCCCTGCACGCGCGCAGTCCTGCACTCCCCTGGTGTGGGTCGTGTGTGGTGGGCCCCCTCCGACCCAAGCAGGTGCACTCGCCTGAGCCAGGCACCGCCTCTCGAGGCGTTGGGCGCCGCCGCGCGGCGCCACGATGGCTCAGCGCGCGTGCGTCGCAAACTGGAGGAACTCATTGAGTCTAGGCCTCCAATATAGGGTCCGAGTAGATGCGGGTCGGAGGATCGCCGATGCATCGCCGATGCATCGCCCATGCGTCGCCGATGCGGCTCGATGTGCAGCCCGATCTGCTTCAGGTCGACGTTGCCGATGCATCGCCGACGTAGACGAGGCATCGCCGATGAATCGCTGATCGCCGATGCGGCTCGATGTGGGGCCCGATTTGCCTCACGTCGACGTCGCTGGTGCATCGCAAGCGTCGACGAGGCATCGCCGATGTATCGCCCATGCGGCGCGATCCTCCGACCCCATCTAGGATGCTTCTGTCGAAGGCAACGGCAACCGATCAGTGGCAAAACGTCTTGGCCTGCCTGGAGGCCCAGAAATGTTATGAGATCTTGTTCTTGTTTTGTACGAATTGTTCTGGGGACAGTTTTGGCTGTTAATGTTTTGTTTAACATAACCATAGGGTTTCTGTTATAAGAAAACCGTTCGTGCTCTTGGAACATGTTTTGGTGATACGAAAATTTTGTGGTAGGCCTGTAGGAACACTGGGACGGCCGGTCCGTGCTCAAAACACGGGGTGGCCGTCGGGGACAAGGTCGCGTTCGCTTCGCGCGTGCGAAATTCGAGGTCTTTTCGGGCGCCCTCGTCGGTGTGTGGCGGCTGCCCAGCCTCGGGGTGCTCTCCAGCAAAAGGCGCCTCGCCGACGGCGTTCCGGGGGTGCCCACATGGTCCCGAACGGCCGCGGGAGAGCCGAGCCATGGCCCGAAAGCCAGGGGTCAACGTGAAAGGGGATAGGCTCAGAAGGGGGATGCGTCGACCCCTCGTCGCGCCCATCGATCGCCGAGAGGGGCCCGTCAGCCCCGTCCGCCCGGCACCGTGCGTTGTCGTCATCGGGGGCCTATCGCCGATCTATCGAGGAAGAGATGTCGATGCCGCTGCCCTTGAAAGAAAGCGCTGTTTTCATGGCGCCTGGTTCCTATCAGAGACAAAGTGCGCGAGCGAGAAACATCGGTGACCAAAAGCGCGCCCGAAATTGTGACCGAAAACGTCGATTGACCGAATCTACGGCCGAGCTTACGACCGAAACTTAGGAACGTCGTGTGTCTGAGTTTTTGGCTCACGAACCTTGAGGCCACAGACTGACTGTCCCTTGGGTCTCTGGTGGCCCAGCACTGGGTCCGGCGAGCAGGAAAGGGCGAAGAGGTTACAGTCAACCCGCGTAGTAAGCATGGGCAACCTTCCCAAGGGCTACCCTTGCATGCTTGGCCCTTCGGCCCAACATCAGCGACTTCCGCTGGCCAGCTTCGCTCGAAAAAACGTCGACACGGCTCTCCAAGGCCCTCGCATCCTTACCGCGCATCTTCACTATACGGGTTGAGCATCCTTGCCCCCTCGGCCCATCCTCAGCGACTTTCGCTGGCCAGCCTCGCTCGAAAAACGTCGATACCGCTCTCCATGGCCCTTGCAGCCTTACCGCGCATCCTTACTAGACGGGTTGACTGCAGAGGTGATGGGCTCGAGAGCAGGCTTTTCGTATTCTTCGGTCGGTCTCCGGTTTCAGGCCCTCTGGGATTTTCAAAAGTGGGTCCAAGCTGCACCAGATTGGCCCCAGGAGGGGCTCGGTGAGCGATTTCGAACGGATTTGCCCTTATTCACCGAGCGCATTCCACTACTCGCAGAGTGCCTACTCGCAAACGTCCGAAAAGCATTTGTTTGCCTCGATGTAATACATCGTGAATTTCCCGCTGCGGATCCAGGCCATTTGCGAGCAGTTACTTTGGGAGTAGTGGAGCGCGCTTGTCCTTAATCGACTTTCTCGAGGTCCATCCAGTTCAGAACCCCTGACCGCCTCCAATTTCCCAACCATCCAGTGGTCTTGTCCTCGTTTTGAAAAGCGCCACGCGTTCTCTCCCCTCCTCTCCTCTCCTCTCGGCTCCTCGACTCTCCTCTCTTCTCTCCTCTCCTCGCCTCTCCTCTCTCCTCTCCTCTCCTCTCCGCTCCTCGCCTCGCCTCTCCTCTCTCCTCTCCTCTCCTCTCCTCCCGCTCCTCTCCTCTCCTCTCCTCTCCTCTCCTCTCCTCTCCTCTCCTCTCCTCTCCTCTCTTTCCTCGGTCCCTTCCTTCTCCTCCTCCTCCTCCTCCTCCTCTTCCTCCTCTCCTCTCTTCCCCTCCTCTCCTCCCTCCTCCTCCTCCTCCTCTCCTCCTCCTCTCCTCATCCTCATCCTCCTCTCCGCTCCTCTCCTCCCTGCTCCCTCCCCCTCCTCCCTCCCTCCTCCTCCTCCTCCTCCTCCTCCTCCTCCTTCCTCTCCTTTTCCCCTCCTCCTCCTCCTCTATCCGTCCGCCTCCTCCCTCCTCCTCCGCCTCCTCCTCCTCCTCCTCCTCCTCCCCCTCCTCTCATCTCCTCCAACCTCCACCCCCACCCCCACCTCCACCTCCACTTCCACCTCCACCTCATCCTTTCTCCCACCCCTGCCTATTCCCTCCGCGTGCCCATTTGGCACACATTCATACGTTTCGTGGCCCCATGAGGGGGCTCCACCGACGGCCCCAGCGGCACAGTCCATATGCAGGCGTCACGCCCGTTTCGGCACCCCTCGCACATGTCGTGGCCTCATAAGGGGGCTCTACCTCAGTCCCCAGCGGCACCGTTCACATGCGGGTGTCACGCCCGTTTCGGCATAGCCCTCACACGTGTCGTGGCCCCATGGGGAGTTCCACCGAAGACGATACTCACGACTGCGGTATTCACAACTGCATCTGTTGGGTCCTTCGCCGTGGTAATTCTTAGGGTATGGCGATCACCAGGGTTCTCGGGCCCGCGCCCCCCCCCCCGCGGGATAACCTTGACCTTCTGGGTCGCCCAGGTCTGCAGATGTACGCAGTGCCGGTGCGCGCGGACACACCTGTGGATACCCACCGCGAAAAGGTTAGACTATCGGCCAGTGCCCCCCCCTCCCCTCGGCGGACAACCCGGGTTGTCGTCGAAGCAGGAACGATCTCGAGGAGATGCCGATGCCGCCACACTTGAACACAAATCGCGACGGGAGGCGTTCGGCCGTTTTTCGGCCTCTGAGGGCCCTTGCCGGGCTCGGGGGCTGTCAACAAAAAAAAAGGCCCGGGGTGAGAAACTGGTCCCGCGGACGGGTTCGAGCCCCCAGGGAGTCCACGATGCGAACAAATCACGGCATCGGGGGTCTGGGGATACCGCTGCCGCTACCCTTGCCGCACTTTCGCCTTTCTGGGGCATGCCAGGATGCCCTCGTCGCCACGGCCGGATTCGCCTCGAAGTCTTGGTCAGAACGCTGGGAGAGGTCCAGGGAGTAGCAGTATTGGTGCCTTTCCCAAGGAGCGGCTGCGACAGCTGGAGGCGAGGCGGCAGCAGGAGTCGAAGGCGAGCGAACGGCGTAGACATAGACATGTGAGGTCCGCGCGGATCTCTTGGGTCGGCGCTTGTCGCCCTCCCTGGCGCGCCGAGTGCGCCAGGGCCGGAGACGCCGCCAGGGGGGGTCAGCGCCGACGATCCAGGGAATCCGCGTGGACTTCTGGACGTGTCTGTTTGTGTACAGTGGAAGCCCATGCCAAGACACACCCTGCTTGCCTCCAGGGTGCCCTGGGTTTCTCGGGTGTCGGCGGTTTTGCGACGGACAGCGCGACGTGCCCACACCAGAGGGCAAGGGACGTCCCGGGGTCTCAGGGTTGGGGTTCTTGTGGAAGGCTGTGGACTGGTCTTGAGTCGGGCCTGCCCCTCTACAGGAGGAGAAAATGAAAAAACAGTAAAATATGTCGGGGCGTTTTTTTTTGGGAGTTTTTTTGACTATTGTACAGTGCCGTTTTTAATACATGCCCCGCGTGCGGATCATGTGTTAAAAATGCAGGGATGCAGTTTCGAAAACAACGATGAGTTCATGCATCAATGTATTCATCGATTAATCATGTATGGAAAACCCGATATCTTGAAAAATCCTATGTACCAAACCTGCCCTGTAAACTCTCAGAGGAGGGCACGGACTTTTCGTGGATCGGCGCCGGACCCCCCCCGCTGGCTGCTCCTCCAGCGCCGCCCCTGGGCGCGCGCTCCGCGCGCCCAGGGCGGTCCTGGAGGTCTTGACCCCTCCTCCTCTCCTCCGTCCTCTCCTCCTCCGGCTCTCCTCCTCCTCCTCCTCCTCCTCCCCCTCCTCCTCCTCCGCCTCCTCCGCCTCTCCCCCTCCTCCTCTCTCTTCTCCCCCTCCCCCTCCCCCTTTTCTCCCTCCTCCCTCTCCTCCTCCTCCTCCTCCTCCTCCTCCTCCTCCTCCTCCTCCTCCTCCTCCTCCTCCTCCTCCTCCTCTAGTTTTTTGTTCCCGGGAGGAGCTGGCCAGGGAGCAGCAGGAGGAGCTCGAGCGGCTGGCCCGTCTGGAGCAGGCGGCCGAGCGCCGGCGCCGGGAGGACGCCGAGCGCGGAGAGCGGCAGAGGGCCCTGGAGCTCGAGTAGGGTCGGTCGCAGCACGTCGTCGTCGTCGTCGTCGCCGTCGCCGCCGCCGTCGTCGTCGTCGTCGTCGTCGTCGTCGTCGTCGTCGTCGTCGTCGTCGTCGCCGTCGTCGTCGTCGTCGCCGTCGTCGTTGTCGTCGTCGTCGTGGACCGTGGCTCGTGGCTCGTGGCTCGTGGCTCGAGCAGAATTGATTTACCCCAAACTTGTCATGGCGCCAACAGCGCAGAGCGGCTCTCGTTCGGAACACTATGGGATGGGCCCGGAGTGTCCTGGAGAGTTCCGCTCCGGATTTCCAGGTGAATGTCGGGCGGATCTGTTTTGGCCAGGAGTGGAGACTACAGAACATCCACGTGGCATTCACTTCGTTTTTCGATTGCTATTTCGGGGTTGTGCGTTGACAGGGATCCACGCAATAATCCGCTGCAGCACGTCTGCAAGGTCGGTGAAATGAGAATCTATGTATACCAGAATTGATTTGCTCGGCGAATCTCCGAAACGTCTGTAGCATGTTTGTAGACCTGCGAGCATGATGCGTTTTTTTTTGTTGGGAGATTCGACGGGAAGATCAAGTTTGGAGTAAATCGAATTCTGTAGTCCATCCCCTACTCGAGGAGCGGCAGATGGAGGAGCACCAGCTGGCGCTGCAGCGCGAGGCGGCCGACCGGCGCCAGAGGCAGGAGTCCGAGGAGGGAATTCATCCACATCCACCGCCTGGAGGGTCACTTTGCGGAGCCTCGGCAGGCGGTGGATACGGCCATCTTCGGGCCCCCGGGGGCCGAAGTGTATACCCATGTCCGCCGCCCGCTGGGGCACCAGGACGTCGGCTCCCAGGCGGTGGCTACGGACAAATCCCCGCCTCGGAAAGGAGGAGCAGGCGCGCCGCTGGCGCGAGCAGGAGCTCCGGCAGCAGGAGCCCCAGGCAGCGGGGAGAGCACACACCGCTGCCGCCGCTGCCCTCCCGAGGCTTCTCGGCTGGGCCTGCCGGGGGCCTCTCGCCGCCACGGCCGGGCTCGTCGCCTCGAGGTGCTGGCCAGAGCGCAGCCCCGGCGCCGCCTGGGCAGCAGCGGTGTCGGCACTCTCTCTTCCCCCCCCCCGGACTCCCTCGAGCAGTGAACAAAAAATCACGACGGGGAGGTCTTTCCGCAGTTTCGGCCTCGGGGGGCCCTCACCGGGCCTCGGGACCGTCAGCAAAGCGGCTCGTGATGAAACGCCGGTCCCGGGGAAGGGGTCCAGACCTCTTTAGGGTCGACGTTATTCAGGAGGGAAAAAACACACACAGACACAATGAATCGGCGATTCCCCAGAAAATATGGGAAAATATGGGAAATGGGGGGGAAGACAGAAACCCAGAAAATATAGGAAAATATCGGGAATATTTTTCCCTACCTAGGCTCTGCCTAGAAGGGTTCTTACTCTCTTAGCTTAAAGGGGCCGGGCAGTGCTACACGCCCCGGGCGGTTCCCCCGGTCCCCTGGGAGCGGTTCCCCCCAGTCCCCTGGGAGCTTTAATTTTAGCTTTAGCTTTAGCTTAGCTTTAGCTTAGCTTTAGCTCAGCTTTAGCTCAGCTTTAGCTCAGCGTTGCTGTTACTGCTGATGCTGCTCTCCTAGGGGCTCCAACTCCTAGATAGGGTCGCACTGGGATAATGATTTGTGTGTATTTATCTGTGTGTCCTGGGGTCCCTTCCTAGGGCGACGAGATCTATACATATCCACTGCTCCTGGCCAGGCCCATCCTGGGCCCAGGAGCCGTGTAGATGCCTCCCTGGCCAGGCCAGGAGGGCGTATACACCGCTCCTGGGCCCAGGACTGGCCTGGCCAGGAGCAGTGGATATGCATAGATCTCGTCGCCCCCGTTATGAAAAAAAATCGTGCCGTCGGGGGGTCTGGGCCAGGAGCACGACCGGCAGCTGCCGCGGCGCCCCGAGGCGGCGAGAGGCCGGGCGGCCGAGGAGGGGGCCACCGATTGGGGGGCTGCCTTGCGGCGGGGCCCGCCGGCGTACGATCGGGAGAGGAAGAAATCCACCACCCACCAACCCTCCTCCCATCCTCCTCCTCCTCCTCCTCCTCCTCCTGCTCCTCCTCCTCCTCCTCCTCCTCCTCCTCCTCCTCCTCCTCCCCCTCCTCCTCCTCCTCCTCCTCCTCCTCCTCCTCCTCCTCCTCCGCCTCCTCCTCCTCCTGCTCCTCCTCCTGGGGGGAGGAAGGGAGGCCCCCGATGGCCCCCGATGGCGAACCTACACGGCCCCGGGCGGGTTGGACAGTCGGGCCCCGATCAGCGCCGAACGGGCGATGGCGGGTCGATGCGTCGTTCCCTGCACGCCCGAAATGGGTATTGAAAGAATGGGTACGATGCCCAACAGCAGTTCCTGTTCACTTTCAACAGGATTCGCCGTCCACGCCGCCGCGGCCTGTGTTTAATTCGAGACAGGAGGCCGCCTGCCCAACAGCGGCCGCTGTTGGCTCGGGACAACATTTGTTGTTGGGCATGTTGCCCATTCTTTCGGTACCCATTTCGGGTGTCCAAAAACCCAACCCGAAGGCCCCGATTTGCCATCCATTTCCAGTGGGGGGGGGGTCGGGGAACATCGAACAAAACACATCTGGAACCCATACCCCCCCCCAACCCGAGATTCGGGGGGTCTGGTTGGGTTGGGGTGGTCTGGTAGGTAGTCAAAAAACACACACAGACACAATTCATCCTCGATTCCTCAGAAAGTAGGGGAAAATATGGGAAGTGGGGGGGAAGACAGAAACCCAGGAAAAACGGGAAGATATGGGGGATATGTTTGTATTGTGTGTATCTATCTGTGTGTCCTGGGGCCCCTTTATATTAGTCCACCACCTTGCGGCGATTGGCAGGATGCCTTGACGCGTGGCAGCGCGTGTCCCGAGGCTCGGGAGAGCTGTAACATGTGACATGCTCTTCCGCGAAACGGGTCGGTGTTGGAGATGACTGTGACAATGAGTGTGGTGATGACGATGGCGATGGCGATGGCGATGGCGATGATGTTGTTGCTGATGATGATGATGATGCTGCGGATGCTGATAATGATGATGCCGCCGCCGCCGACGACGACGACGGTGGTGGTCGTAGTAATGATGGTGATGATGGTGGTGGTGGTGGTGATGATGATGATGATGATGATGATGATATTGATGATGCCGATGAAATGGTTACGATGAGGATGCGGAGCAGGATGAGGAGGAGGAGTATTCAGATGATGCTGATGCTGCTTATGATGCTGCTGATCATGATGAGGATGCTGATGATGGTAATGCTGATGACGACGATGATGATGCCAGCGATGGCGACGACGATGATGGTGATGATGCTGGTGATGAGGAGGACGAGGAGGATCAGAAACAGGAGTATGAGGATGTGGATGATGAGGACGGTGGCGGTGACGGTCATTGTGATTGTGATCGTGATGGTGATGGAGCTGTTGAACATTATTAATTCTAAAGAATAATTATTGTTGGGACCCCTGGTGCACGGCCCCCCCGCCGCGCCTAGGCCGCAGCTACATTTTCATATATTTTTCGCGAAAGCTTCAGAAAAGTGGATGGGGTCCAGATCCGGTTGTTTTGTTGTAATCCGTTTTCCCTTGCAAAAAACACTATAAAATTACATTTCTTGTTCTAATATAATCAAATTTCAAGAATCCCTTGCAAAAAATAAGGTAAAGTGGACATTCGCGCGCGCAAGACGAAATCCTTCCAAAAGCTTAGTGTTCGGAACGATTTTTACATAAAAACATCAAAAAACCAATGGTTTTTCAACAAAAAAATGTCAAAATCTCATCCCTCGCGCTCTTGCGGATTCGTAGGAAACCCAACACTTTTTTAAACATTTCTGTCAAACGGGCTTTTGCGAGCAACTTTTTCGAACTTCTGCGACAACGGTTGCGCACCTGCCAGGGCCATCATCCCTGTCAAATAATACCATGCGGGACACATTCGTTTTTTCTTCGCGCGCGCACGCCGAAATCTCCAAAAACCATTGGGCTTCTTAAGAATTTAGCACCGCGCATCATAAAATCACACGAATCGCACCGTAGGTCCTCGAAAAACACTTGCACGACTTTTCAAAATTTCTACCCGCGCGCGCTGTCCTAACAACTTCTGTGGGTGTGTACTCCACGCCAGTGTAGTAGCCACGGTCGTCCGCAGGCCACGAAGTGAAGTGTCCGAACGTCATAGGGCGGGAAGCTGGGTGTGGGTGGTGGCGAAGAGTCGTTTGGAAATTTGGTAGAGCTTGAACCGGCCCCCCCACAAAGTGGGGGTATTGCCCGCCTCCTATGAAAAACCCTGGCACTGGTGAGAACGGTGTGTCCCCACGTGCTAGTAATTGTTGTTGTTGTTGTTGTTGTTGTTGTTGAACATTATTACTTCTAAAGAATAATTATTGTTGGGGCCCCTGGTGCACGGCCCCCCTGCGCCGCCTAGGCCGCAGCTACATTTTCATCATTTTCGTGAGGAAGCCTCAGGTAATACGATGTCATCAAGATCCGGATGTTTTGTTGTAATCCGTTTTCCCTTGCAAAAAACACTATAAAATGACATTTCTTGTTCTAATATAATCAAATTTCAAGAATCCCTTGCAAAAAATAAGGTAAAGTGGACATTCGCGCGCGCAAGACGAAATCCTTCCAAAAGCTTAGTGTTCGGAACGATTTTAACATAAAAACATCAAAAAACCAATGGTCTTTCAACAAAAAATGTCAAAATCTCATCCCGCGCGCTCTTGCGGATTCGTAGGAAAACCAACACTTTTTAAACATTTCTGTCAAACGGGCTTTTGCGAGCAACTTTTTCGAACTTCTGCGACAACGGTTGCGCACCTGCCAGGGCCATCATCCCTGTCAAATAATACCATGCGGGACACATTCGTTTTTTCTTCGCGCGCGCACGCCGTCGTCGTCGGCCGCGGGGCCCTGAATAGTAGCCACGGTCGTCCGCATGCCACGAAGTGAAGTGTCCGAACGTCATAGGGCGGGAAGCTGGGTGTGGGTGGTGGCGAAGAGTCGTTTGGAAATTTGGTAGAGTTGAACCGGCCCCCCCACAAAGTGGGGGTATTGCCCGCCTCCTATGAAAACCCTGGCACTGGTGAGAACGGAGTGTCCCCACGTGCTAGTAATTGTTGTTGTTGTTGTTGTTGTTGTTGTTGTTGTTGTTGTTGTGTTGTTATTGGTGTTGGTATTCGTGCTGTTGTTGTTGTTGTTGTTGTTGTTGCTGGTGTTGTTGCTGTTGCTGTTGCTTGTGCTGCTGTTGTAGTTGTTGTGGTTGTTGTTCTTGTTGTTGATGTCGATGTTGATGCTAATGATGATTTGGACGTTGATGTTGATGCTGCTGCTGTTGTTGATGTTGTTGCTGCTGCACTCTCATTACTAAAGAAAGGTTATTGTTGATCCCCCGCCTCCGAGGTGCATGATGCTTTTTCAATTGAAGTGCCCTTCCCGCGGCTCGCACCCGGTTTTTTTATCAGGGCAAGTCTTGGGCCTCAGAATTGTCTCCTTGGGGCCCGGTTTACAGCAACAGCGGCTCCCTTGAAGAATCGCGCGCTCTCGCGGGGGACTTCCTTGCAGTCTACACCCTAGGCGATGCTTAAGAAAACGTGAGTTTTCGGCCAGAGTCTCGATTATTCTTAACGTTTCAATGTAAATCCCAAGATTTTGATAGAAATGTTGGGTTTTTATTCAGTTCTGAGACCATGAATTTCTTAACCCATGATTTCTTAACCATTTCGCGTGGTGTACAGCTGAATTGCGGCTTCCGCCCGATAGCTCCCAGCAGTTCATTGAAGAGTCGCGCTCTCGATCGGGTCCGCTCGCTGCCCCATTGTGGCCCCGCTCGCTGCCCCTCGGGGCCCCGCTCGTGCCTGCCCTTTGTAGCCTCGCTCGCTGCCCCTCGTGGCCCCGCTCGCTGCCATTCGTGGCCCCTGCGCGCTCTTGCCTCTCCCGGCCCCGCTCGCGTGGCCTCCTCGCTGCCCCTCGTGGCCCCGTTGCAGCCCTTCGTGGCCCCCTCGGTGCCCTTCGTGGTCTCGCTCGTGTTTTTTTTTGCCCCACTTTCGCCCCTCCTGGTCTCAATCGCTGCCGCTCGTGGCCCCGCTCGCTGCCCTCTGTGGCCCCGCTCTGGTGGCCCCGCTCGCTGCCCCTCGGGGCCCCGCTCGCTGCCCCGCGTGGCCCTGCTTTCTGCCCTTCGTGGCCCCGCTCGCTGCACTCCGTGGCCCCTCGCGGTCTTGCCCGTCGTGGCCCCGCGCGCCGCCCGCCGTGGCCCCGCGCGCTGCCCTCCGCGGCCCCGCTCGCAGCCCCTCGTGGCCGCGCGCGTTCTTTCCCGTCTGGTTCTGCCCCGTGCTTTCTGCTCCTAGCCCCCCTCCTGCTAAGTTCTCTCGTGCTCCATCCTTCTCCCTCCCCCTTTCATCCGTCCTCTACTCCCCTGTTTCGGGGGCTGCGCTGCATGCACGTGGCAGATGAGGACGGTATATCCCCAAGGGGGTACGATCGAAGACGAAGAGAGAGGGTATCGAGGGTTTAGGGGATATACATACGTGTTGAATGGCACGCGAGCAGATAGGAGCGAGCAGTCTCACTTTTTTTGTTGTTGTTGTTGTTGTGGTTGTTGAGTTTTTATATCAACAAGTTGTTATGGTTGATCTCCCACCTCGGCAACCATGGTACTTTTTGAATTGAACTCCTTCTCCCAGGGCTCGCACATTCTTTTTCCAAGGGAAGGCGAGGGGCCACCAAACTGGGCCCCTGGCACCTGGTTTACAATAACAACGGCTCCCGCCTGATATTGCCTCGCATCTTATTCACAAATCACGGTTTCGCGGTTTCGCGTGGTTTTCCAACAATTTGTACAGGAATCGCACTCTCGCGTGGGACTTCTGGCAGTCTATTCGGACGCCGCGCCCTCAACACTCAGGAATCATGCTCTCGCTGTGGATTTCACGATTTATTCGCTCGAGACTTCCCCGCGAAGGGCGCACGCTTCAGCAGTCCGTCTGCTCGACCTGGCCGCCTTTTCCCGCCTTCCCGACCGGCCCGTTAGAGTCTACCCGCCCGATCTGCCCGTCTGGTTCTGCCACGTGTCTTCTGCTCCGATCCCCCCTCCTGCTACTCTCTCTCGTGCTCCATCCTCATCCCTCCCCCTTGTCCTTCTCTTCCGTCCGTCTCTTGTCCCGTGCCTTAGGGGCTGTACGAAATACACGTTGCAGGTAAGAGCGACATACCCCTAAGGGGGTACGATCGGAGACGAAGAGGGCGGGCATCGAGGGTTTGGGGTATACGATTAAATATTCTTAACATGATTGTTGTTGTTGCTGTTGCTTTTGTTGTTGTTGTTTTCGTTTTTTTGTGTGTGTGTGTGTGTGTTTTTTGTTGTTGTTGTTGTGGTTCTTGTTGCTGTTGTTGTAATTGGTGTTGTTGTGGTTGTGGTTGTGGTTGTGGTTGTCGTTGTGGTTGTGGTTGTGGTTGTGGTTGTTGTTGTTGTTGTTGTTGTTGTTGTTGTTGTTGTTGTTGTGGTTGTTGTTGATGTTGTTTAACTTTCATTTCTGAAAAATTATTGTTGGTCCCCCCCGTCCGGTGCACATTGTTTTCTTTCGATTGGAGTGCCCTTCCCGGGGCTCGCACCTTATTCTTTGTCAGGGAAAGTCTTCAGGGTCAAACTGTGTCGTTGGCCCCCGGTTTGCAACAACAACGGCTCCCGCCTGAGACTTCCTCACAATTTAGCCAGGACCCCCGCTCCCGCCCGAGACTTCCTCGCGTATTATCCCGGCGCTCTGGAGTCGCGCTCTCGCTGGAGACTTGCCCGCAATTTACTGAAGAATAGCGCCCTTGCGTTGGAATTTCTCGCAATTTACTCAAGCGCCGCGCTCCCGACACCCAGGCACCCAGGAGTCGCGCTCACGCTTAGGACTCCTTAACAGATTACATGAGAATCGGGATCTCGCTGCCCTTCGTGGCCCCGTTGCAGCTCTTCGTGGCCCCCTCGCTTTGTTTCGTGGCCCCGTTGCAGCCCTTCGTGGCCCCCTCGCTGTCCTTCGTGGCCCCGTTGCAGCCCCTCGTGGCCTCCTCGCTGCCCTTCGTGGCCCCGTTGCAGTCCTTCGTGGCCCCCTCGCTTTGTTTCGTGGCCCCGTTGCAGCCCTTCGTGGCCCCCTCGCTGCCCTTCGTGGCCCCGTCGCAGCCCTGTGTGGCCCCGTTGCAGCCCTTCGTGGCCCCCTCGCTGCCCTTCGTGGCCCCGTTGCATCCCTTCGTGGCCCCCTCGCTGCCCTTCGTGGCCCCATATATGTATGCCCTCGGTGGCCCCCGCTCGTTCGCGCTCGTGGCGGCCCCATATGCATCTGTCCTACGCGGCCCAGTTGCTACCCTCAGTGGACCCATCTTTGCCTTCTGTGGCCCCGCATTATCTGCCTTTCGTGGCCCCCGCTCGTTCGCGCTCTTCGTGGCCCCATACGCATTCCCTTCGTGTCCCCGCTGTTGCCCTTCGTGGCCTACTTCGTGTCCTTGTGGCCCTACCGTCGATCTCTTTCGCTCTCGCTTTCGCTCGTCGTCGCCGTCGCCGTCGCCGTCGCCGTCATCGTCGTCGTCGTCGTCGTCGTCGTCGTCGTCGTCGTCGTCGCGGTCGTCGCCGACCGTCGTCGTCGTCGTCGTGGTCGGTCCCTTGTCCGTCCCTCTTGGGGTCGGGTCGACGGTCCGCGGCCGCCCCGCCGATCAGCGCTTCCGCTGGCCAGGCTGACGGTCCGCGGCCGCCCCGCCGCTTGCCGGGGCCCGGCCTGCAGGGAAGAAAGGTATACCCCCCGGGTTCGATCGAAGACGAAGAGGGCGGGTATCGAGGGTTTGGGAAATAGGCGTTATTGGACACTCGAGCAGATAAGGGCGAACAGTCTTAAAATGATTGTTGTTGTTGTTGTTGTTGTTGTTGTTGTTGTTGTTGTTGTTGTTGTTGTTGTTGTTGTTGTTGTTATGTTTTTTTTTTATGGTGTTTATGTTTTTTTTCGTTGTTGTTGGTCTTCGTGAGCGGTGTGTCTTCACTTCTTGAAGAGCTCTCATGGAGTTTTTTCGGGCCGTCTTGGGTTTGTCTTGGACTCCTGTGGGGCGGTCCACGTTGCCCTCTTTGCCATCTGGGGTGCCTCTCAGGGCTGCCGTGGGGCCGTCTTGGGGCCTTCCTGGGCAGTCGCGCGGCCCTCTAACGCTGTCCCGGATCCCTCCGGAGCCCCTCTCTGGCCGGCTTGTTGGGCGTTGCGTAATGGAGGGGTCATAAATAGGGGGGTGGCGAGGGTGGTCCG